AGGCCTCCGGTTTATGAAATGGTTCTTATTTTAAGTTGTTAGCAAGCTGTTAATAAGAGAAATAATCCACAGTTTTAGTAGAATTTTTCAAGGTAAAATAAATTAATTGAGGCTTGAAATAATTCATATAATATAGAAAACAGTAAGTCAATATTCAAACTAATCATTCCAAACTGATCTAAACGGTCATTTTTTCATTAGATACATGTATAACTTGATCCAAATGATATTAGTAAAGTCAGACGATTGTTAAATATGACTAAAGAAGCTCAACTGACTGCAGCGATTAACTCTGGGAGCAGAGATCACCTCTTCTGAGCAAGCATGCGGCGACAGTGGAAAGACATCTTTAAATTAACAAGTAGACGTCCCCTCTGTTAACATTACTAAAAACATTTTGATCACACTTTACACAAGTTTGACAGGAGCAGAAATGTTCCTTGTTATAAATAAAATCATGTTTGAACTGCCTAGTCATAGAATAAATAAAAATCTAATTTATTTCTTCAAACCAAATATAACAACTTATTGAATTCATAAAAAAAAAAAATCAGATAAAAAGTTATGCCGTCCAAACAAATTCGCTAAGATACTGAAAAAATTATTAAAAAAAAAAGAGAGAGAAGTAAAAATAAAAAGTCAAACTCTATATTAGCCAAGTGATAATTTTGTATTTAAATTTTAGGTGGTTGCACAGCTTTGCGTTTTAGAAAAATACAAATATGACTCTGCAGCTACATCTGCACCCTTTTTTTTTTTTTCTATAAACACAAAACCCAACCAATTTACCATTAGGAAATTGCTGCTGTTGGTGCCTCATTTTATCTCCCGCAAGTTTGGTTGTTCTGGTTCTATTTGATCCTGAAATTAAAACACATGATCTACCACAGGAAGATTCATGATTTTTATTTCACTTTCTGTCTTTTAAAATAAGCCTCAGCAGATTAGTTAGTGGGCATTAAAAACTTGGAGCATAAAAGCCGGGTATAGTTATAATTATGTAAAAGTATATTTTAATCATTCTATATTTTCCAACATGGTTTGATGATGACACCAGAATTAAATTGATGTCATTTTTGCTTTACAACATGTCCTCAAGGATAATAAAGTGACTTATTCCTCGTTAAGCCATCCGGCAGCCATACCTTCTCCACCTTGGCGTACTTCTTGATGTCGATCTCTTTGCGCCCATTCTCCTCGAGCTCAACTGTTCTAACAGCGTCTAGCGCGATGCCGCAGGCGAGTTCTGACCAGCGGCTCAGAGCTTTGGTGTTGATTGCAGAGTGGACAATCTTCAGCATCATGGAGCGGTCTGAAGTGTCCACAGGGGTGCTGTAGGAAGAGAGAAAGAGGGTTCAAATCACTGGACCTTAAAAGAAATCCATAGTCTATGTTTTCTTTTCTTCTAGTTTTATGCAAGTTTAGAACCAATTTGTATGAGCCATTGGGAATGTTTTTTTTGTTTTTTTTTCTCTCTATTTCTATCATCTTAATTCTTATCTCCTTCCCTCTTCAACTCCGTTTCCATTGCATACAATTTTATTCCATAAATCATTTCTAATCAAGAATAATTACAAAATGAAACCTTATAGCAACATCCGTAAACAAAGCTGTTTGGCTCTGGAACATCAGAGAGATGGTTGAGAATTCCCACAAAAGACCCCCATGTAAACTGATGATAGTTTTTTGACCATGTAAATAAATGTCTTCCAATGTAACATTTTAGGAAAAGTTTCTTAAAAAAAACTAAAACAAAAAACACAACAGAACTTCTCAAAACCTGAAAGTCGGAAAAATGCTGAAATCATAGGCAAAAATATAAGAAATGCCAAATCACAGTTATCATATTGCTATTTATGTTGATATGGCAGTATTGTCCAACCCTATATCAGACAGGCTACATGTATCTAGATTTTTCTACATACTGTTGTTAAAATGGCCTTTAGGCTGCAACTAACAATTATGCTGTTAAATAATCCATTAAAGATCAGGTGTAGACCACAGGGAGAGAAATGGTGATGCCATTTGTGAAAATTGTGTGGAAACTTGAATAAACAAAACTTTAGCTAGGTCAAAACTTTTTGGCACTATGGCACAGTATAGGGATACCAGTTATTCCATAGTCAGACTCTACCTGATTTCCTTCAGAGTTACCAGCATGTCCTCCAGAGCCTGCCTGTAGGCGCTGATGATCACTGTTGGGTGCATCTGCTGCTCCAGAAACTGTTCTGCTATAGCCAACATCTCTCCAGCTGAGGCACAAAAAAGATTCTGGATCATCAATTTTATTTCTAAGGACTAGTCTCTCCATAAACTAAACTTACCTAGGATGATGACTGAAGTGGTCCCGTCTCCCACCTCTTCATCCTGTGTACGGCTAATCTCAATCATGGACTTGGCTGCAGGATGCTGCACCTGAATCTGTTGCCATGGAGATGTACGTTAGGAAGAAATCGAAGCCAAGCTAATATCCACAGACAATTCTAGATGATCCAAAATAAGAAACTTGTTGATGATTCTGACCTCTCGGAGGATGGCATTACCGTCATTTGTCATGACGATTCCCCCGGTTGGGTCCAGTAACATCTGTAAAGAGGAAAACATAAGACGAATCACTGACATGGATAAGACAAGACAATCGTTGTGCTGGGACCAGATGCATTGAGCATGATGTAGCAAACTCACCTTCATCATGGCCCGTGGGCCAAGGCAGGTTCTGATCACATCTGCGATGTTCTGAAATGAATTGGGATGTTAGGGAGGTGACCACATACCAACAGATATATTTTTATGTCTGTTTAATGTCCAGTTTAGTAACTGAGAAATGATATGCAAGGTACACCATTACGGTTGTTGATATGATGACTTTTCTGCTTTTTTATATTCCTGCTAAATTCCTGCCCAATCAAACTGTTTTATTTGGTTCACTTCAGGTTTCTACAGTTGACCGACACCAATTAACAAGTACGTCTTTTAGGATGCGGGATGAAGAAAAGTAGAACCCTACCTTTGCAGCATTGATGTTTCCTGTCTGGACTTTACGCCCCGACTCTCTTTTCACGTTCTGGTCTAGAAGGAAGGACGTAAATAGAGGAAAAGTTAATGGATGATGTGGTGTTAGAAAAAAAAAAAACATCTGTTCCAAGAAATGACTGAAACCTAAATTAAATCTTAAAGGTTTTGTAAAAGCAATTATAATCACACAAAGGAAGAAACATTAAATATGACCTTTCAAAGCAACTGCGGTATACTGACAATATTAACCCTGTTTTACATGCTTCCTTTGTGTAGATACTGATATAAAATCTAAACATTAAAAAGAGAAAAAAAACAGTATTGCCTCACGTTAGGAGTGTTTTAATAAGATCTCAGAAAGTGTCAGTGATGGAGCTATTTTTAAGCGTCTTATGTCTCAGAATAAAACAGCCTCTCGAAGACAATCACATTCAACAGCTTAGAAATGCTCACAGCAGCATGAACATCAAACTAAAAAGAGCTTCAGCCATAAATCTCAACATGTATGAATTTTAAATTCATACATGTTGAGATTTACACAACAGCTTGAAACCAAACTCATGGTCCCATTAATAAAAACTGTAAATCATATGAAGGTCTCTGCATCCAACTGACAATATCAATGTGTTTTTTCCCCCTAATGATTAAATTTGATCACTATAAAGGCAAGGCTTACTGTGCTAATTAGATATATACTGATACCTAAAATATTAAAATGAAAGGATGCTAATACTTAACGTAATCCAGTAAAACAATACACAAGGATTTAGTTAGTTAGTTAGCAGCTTAAACATTTACTCTGTTACGCGAGTATATTATATATATGAGAAGGCCCATAAATCAAAACAATGTTTAATGTACAGTTTTAAATAAACAAGGTAAAAATATTTTTTCTGTTTGAGCTTAAACCGCATGTTAATGCCGAGTAACGGTGACAGCTAGCGGCTATTAGCTTAGTAGCATCTCTCACGCGCTTTTCTTTGCGTATGAGTTTAAGATGCTAACACCGGCTGGGTGGAGATGTTAGCACACACAGCGATGGTTTAGCACGAGCTAATGATGCTAACTATACCGGTCTGAGGAAGTAGCGCCCTGATGCAAAATGCAATAGCCTTATTAGCACATGGTGCTTAGCCGCTTTGTGTTTCAGCAGCTCCGTTCTGAAAGTTAATGGCAAAAGGCAGACCAAACCGGAACACCAGCGCTTCTACACTCAAAATTAAATGTTAAAAGTGTATCTTTAGATTATTTTCTGTACTTACTGAGCACTAAAACTTGCTGGCCGATCATTTTTGACAACGTGCACCGGGGAGCAGCAGCTTAGAAGGTTCTGGGTGGTGCGGCGAGAGGGAGGGCTCAGACGAAAGGGAATGAACTCTAGCCGAAATGTGGCCAATCACAGAAGAGATTGTTTTTGATAGACATGTTCTTCAACCAATAGAGTGAATGAAATGTATTCGGTAAGCAATCCACCTTTTAAGGAAAAAGAAATCGAACAAACCCCTTTTAGATCCCACCAATGTTTATATTACAATATTCACGCTATTATTTAAATGTATAGCAAATTAAGATGTATATATAGATTTTTTTAACATTTGATTCCTCGCAGCATTTTCACTAATAAAAATTACACAGTACTTAAGGAGGAACATACTTCACGATCCATCAATCCAAACACTCTCATTCACATTTAATATATGCATTGATTTGTAGTCTTCAATCTTTATGGCATCAGAGTATCACATTGTTCTGAAATACTCCAGGAAAATAAAATGTATTCCCAGTGATTCATTATCTGAAAAACATTTTGTTGCAGTATTAATATAGTCAATTTTTAGTGCCAACAGATACTAAAGTAAGTCAACATTTAGGAATTGCAGGGTGAAACAAAATATATGTAAAAAGGGACTTTATCTTTGCATCTAAAAAAATAATTATTTGATTTTCAAGCAAGCAAGCACCATCAGAACTACACAAACTGCAAATTAACAGTATGATGCAAGTTAATATTTTATTAAACAGTCCCAGCAGAGTTTCACTGCAAGTAAGAAGGCTCAGAACAGATTCCAGTTCTATGAGTTTATCACAAAGCTTAGAATCTCTCATTAAATACAAATAAATACAATAAAGCACCATATACAAATTACACAAGATAAAGAAATATAACATATGCATAACAGCTTTGCATAAAGATACAAATAAATAAACCCAATGCATTTAAGGTCGTTTATTAAATAAATAAATTAATCAAATGAATAAATAATCTAGTGAGGCAATGGAGCACTTCATTTGGATATTTCGAGTTTAAATAAAAATCTGAGAGGACTCAGTCTGTGTTATGGACACCTGTTTGTGTAAACTCAGACTGATTCTGCACCTTGTCCATCCAAAAGAGTAGGAGAGGGTTCTCCCCTTTATGTGTCTTTCTTATTTTCTCTAGCTTAAGATCCATGAGTGAACAAGTGTCACAGTTCATCCTTAAACCCGGGGATCACCAGATTATGACTCGCCTCACGTTTCAGAAACTTCAAGAAGTCCTTCAGCTCCCGAGTGCCCTGAAAAAAAGCCAGAGATGCCATCAGACTTCATGTGACAACCTGCTGTTCTAAAGCATCTGAAGCTGGACTGGCTGTGAGGTACCTGGTATCGAACAGGATCGTCTTTTTTACCCACAGGAGCAAAATAAATGGTGGGAAACCTGGAAGGAAAGCAAAAGAGGGTAAAACAAATAACTATCTTCACAACAATAAACTCTTTTTACTGGGGTTATACGTGATAGAGCTACATTCAAATACATTTATAGAAGAGAGGGCAAATTTAAGATATTGTTGGCAGAATGCTATAAAAAGTCCCATTGAAAGTTTGCCAACAAGTCTGTGGCTGAAGGCACACTGGTCAGGGGAGTTTTTAATAAACCTATTTGACGCACATGGAAAAGGCTGGACCCTAAAATCATCAGTGTGCACTATGGTGTGCCATTATTTAAGCAAGGGAAAGTGGTTCCAACTGATGGGAGGATAGATGGAGCTTATTAAACAGTAACAGGTTAAAAGAAGGGACAGAAGGTTCCCTTTTCGACAGGATAAAGACTCCAAACATATAACCAAAGGATGTTCTTGTGTTAGAATGGCCTAGTCAAAGTCTAGACCTAAAACCAATAACAAATCTGTGACTAGAAGTGATATGCTAATCGTCAGCAAACTTAAGAAGTCTGAATGGTTATTTAGTCTGTAGATGAGCGAAGCTGACAGAGACAAAGGGGGCACAACAAAGTGTTGAATCAAGAGCAATAAAACAAGCAAAAAGGATGCAGTCTCTTTGTCTTTTGCAACTTTCGAACCTAACACACTTTGGGCAGCAGAAGCAGCCGCTTTACATGCAAAGTCTATGGTTGATGCGCATTAAGGCCCATTAAAAGGTCCTGCAACGCCTCTAGAGCAGGAGGACCTGCACATCCCGATGCATCTGAGCAGCTGAAGCAGTGCCTCATGAGCTTCTGACGCTTGTGACGCGCTTAAAAAAGGAAAAGAGCAAAAATGATCCTCCTGCATCCTCTGGATGCTTTTGTCTTATTACCAAAACAGTAAGGAAAAGGAAAAAAAAAAAATAGAAAAAAGAAAGAAACTTCAGAGAAGATATTTTAAAATAAATACAAAAACAGGGCAATCCTGTGAAAAGTTCAGAAAATGAAAGCCCCAAGGATCTGACTAGCGTCAAAGAGCTAAAATATCCCATTATTGATTTGAAGTAGAAAAATTTGAAATATTTCATAGAGAATAAAAAAAAAATCTGCTAGGAACCATAAAAGTTAAATCCTCACCCTTGGACATCGTATCCTAATGGGACGTCGTTAGCGACGGCGTTCATCTTGGCGATAACGGTGTTTGGGTCAGAATACAACTGAGGAAACAGATAAAGAAGACTTCAGTATCTGAGGAACTGTGAATACATAATAAGAGGCCCATAAATGCTATTTGTTTAAACTGAAAAATAGTTTATATGGTTAAGCCCAATAATGATTTATAATAAAAAAAAAGCTAAAAAAAGTTAAAAGTATGTTTATTTTTCAGACAAGACAAAGGGCCAATAATTTTAGTAGAGTTAGTGTTGTAATGTTTTAACGGAAGATCATGTTTTTTCTGAGTAGAAGTAATTTTTATGTTTTAAAGCCACTAAGCCAGAATTCCAACTTGACTCTAAAAGAAACTGTAGAAGGAGCAAAAGATTATTTTTGGATTAATGCCCATCTCATTTCTTGTCAGAAAAGACAATTCTTGAATGAATTAAATTAATCTTAAGTCCAAATCTGACACGGGTATAAATACTTCTACATACCTGTAGACTCCGTACTTGTTTATATTTGTCATGATGGGATTTTTTAAGCTATTCAATTATGCAATAAACTAAAATTTTGTACCATTTCTGCCAGCTCTCTGTAAACTGGTTCCAGCTTCTTGCAGTGTGGACACGATGGAGAGTAAAACTGAATCAGAACGTCCTTATCTGGGTCGTTCACGACGTCATCAAACGACTCTGCAACAACTACCTGCATTAAACAACACCGACAGATGACTTAAGTTATAGCAGAACCAGAGTCCAGCTGCTGGTCCTCCTCATCATTCCACCAAACATATCAAACTGCTGCTGCACCGTCACCTCCATCTTACCTTCACAGGAGCAATGTTCTTCTCAGGTACTGGTTCTGATCTGATGTAACGCTTGAGACGACCTGCGAAATAATCCTCCAGGAACCTCTCTAGTGACTGACCATCCCTCCTGAAACAAACACGGTCACGCTCACCAGCAGCACAGGAAGAGGACCCCGATTTGTCCTGTTTTAACCTGATGCAGCAGCACGTAGCCTAGTTCGGCCATGTTACCTACGTGAACTCTTCCCTCATGGTGTACTTGTGGCCCAGCTTGGTCCGGATGGTGACGAATGGCAGCTCGCCTCCGTCTGACGTTCCCAGGCCGTAGTCGTCCTCCAGCTCGGCCTGGAAGTCTCTCTTATTGGCTACTGAGAACATCAGGCCACGCCCAACGTATTTGGATGCTACTTTCATCACCCTGGCAACAGGCACGAAAAGAGAGAGTGCTGAATACAACTTTCAAAACTATAAAACATTCTTTTTTAAAACTTATGTTGCACCAGTTAATTATATCTTCTCGTATTTTTGTGTCAACTTTAACAGCTCATTAAATCCATCCGTCCATCAAATTTTCCATCAAAGAAAATTCTGAACATCTGATCTGCCATTCACTTATCAAACTAATGGAACTCATAATACAAACCTGCTAAGCAATAAGAATGTTAGCATTAAAAACCTGAACCTGGGGTGCTTTAGATGAGGGATTCTCTCTAAACCTACAAAGCCGAAGTTAATTTGAAGGTGGAATATCTATCCTCCTTTCTCCCCCCAGAAAATACAACCATTATATTAGTGTGCTGCTAATATGAAGGCGCTTCACCTGTTCCTCCAGTAGTTGGACCCTCTGACATTGTGATGATAGTCTACGTCATAGTACGCTGTGAGTAAGTCACGAACCCGAAGGCGATCCCTGTTCTCCACCGTCATGTGAGGACACAGACCATAGCTGAGAACGGACAAAAAAAAGAATTAGACAAAGTAAAAAAAAAACAATTTCCTCTTTAGGTTGTGAGATGGAAAATATCTCACATGTGATCTCTGATGAAGCGTCTCAGAGAGCTGATGGTCAGATAATCTTTGAAGACCACCACACTGTCCTCAAAGGCGTTGGACAGTCTTGGAGGTCTGAAGAGTAAGACACTCCTGAAAAAAAAACAAAAAAAAACAACAAAAACAAAGCAATGTAAAAAGAACCAAATGAGATGATTTACTTCTGCAAATGATTTGTCTAAAAAACCCACTCAGTTTGAGTGTGCTCGTCAGCGATCTGTAGATCAGTGATGTGAGCAAATCTGAACTGTTCTCTCAACAGACTGGCGCCGTTCAGAAACTCAGCCAGACGTGGAGCATCGGTCCCTGAGAAAACACCTGAAGCACAGAAAAAATAAAAATAATAACACCAACCACATGAGCCCTGCAGCAGGAATGAGTCCAAGATGATATGCTGTAACAGCAGTCATACCAACAATGCTGGCATCGTAGTTATTGACAAAGTTCTGGAGGTCTTCTTTACTCTTCAGGTGGACTGAGTCCGGGCCACTCTGCTTCTTCATGTAGTTGTAGATCCCATCTGAACTCAAACACAGCCACATCTACACATAAATCCCTATTTTTAACCTTTAAACCTATCTTGTTTGTCTTCTTTTATCTTTTTTACTTGCAGTGCGAGGCCCATCATAGGGTGCAGAGTCCTTCCCTGACCTGAAGATCTTTAGAGTAGGATACCCAGTAACACCAAAGCGAGCACAGGTCTCTGTGTTTGCAGTGCAGTCAACCTGGAAGACAGAGAGACAGTTTTTTTTTCCTGTTTGCAATAACAACATTAGCAACTGTATTTGTGGCAGCAGTGATACCTTTGCCAACTGAACGGTGCCTTTAAGTCGACCTGCAGCTTTTTCAAACTCCGGGGCCAGTTTTTTACAGTGGCCGCACCTGAGGGACAGATCAGAGGAAAGAAAGAAAAGATGAGAGCATAAACCGAGAGGTGAAATATGTACAGTCAGAAAAAAATTACAAGAAATAAGGATATATTAAAGCAAGACTAAATAGAGAAATAGCAAAGTCTATGTATGTAATTCGCCATATATGAAAGAGGATTAGGGCTGTTTAAAAAAATGTCAGAGTTCTGACTGTTTTTAAAATTCTGACTTTAATCCCAGAATTAACAGTCAAATATTTGGGAGTCTATCGTCAAAGCTCAGGATTATCACTTCAGTAGGTAAGAATAGAAAAACGTATCATAATTCTATGAGAATAATTCTGAGATGCAACTCTGAAGTCAGTAGTTTGTTTTTATTTGTTTATTAAAAACTCTAAATCACATCACAGACTCTGCATCAGACTAATAACACCACACCAAAAATACTGCATATTTGCACCATATATATTTAATGTTCTGAACTTCCATATAAATGCATTTTTTTTGCACCATGTTTTTTCTCCCACACTGTTTACATGTGATCACTGCTGCACTTCATGTAAAGGATATGTTAATTTACTGCCTGAAAAGCTGTACTAAACTAAACTTTGTTTTGTATACACTTTGTATACAAAATGACAATAAAAGTTGTCTAAAAAGTCTAATCAAGTGGCAGGTGTTTTTGCTTGTTTTTTTTAATGGCCGCAATCCTCTTCTGTAATCTAGGAACCAGGTTAAAAATAAACACATGACTTTAATGACTTAATTTATTTGAGCAGCATTGAGCATATATTTTCTAACAGCTGAGCATTAAATATGTATTTAAGATAGTTTTATTTAGCATATAAGATAGTAGAGGCAAATTTCTGTGAAGCTCTATTGATACTAGTTAAAATGTTGTAGTTTGTAGAGGTCAGCTAAGGTGAAACTCAGCTTTTTTTTGGAGATTTTCCAGAATGAGAATACCAAAAGAGAGGTGTATTATTGGAATGAAGGGTAACCTGATGTATGGATGGACTAAAAGAGGGATAGATGTGTGAATGGACTGATGTATGGATAGATGTGTGGAGGAATGGGCTGATGATGGATGAATCAATTACAGACAGCGATTGATGTACGGGTAGATAAACAGAAGATTCAATGGATGAAGGAATTAATGGATAAATAAACTTATGGAGGGACAGGCAGAGAGTTAGATGCATGGATCAACAATTGGATGGTGGACGGACAGTCGCATAAACCAATGGGTGGAGGGAATTCCATGGGTTCCTAGAATTTCTAAAAGTAGAATGGGAAGCAGATCTTTTAGTTATCAGGCTTCTCTCCTGTGTAACCAACTACCAGTTTTAGTCCGTGAGGCAGGCACCCTGTCTACTTTTAAGGCTAGGCTTAAAACTTTCCTTTTTGATAAAGCTTATAGTTAGAGTGGCTCGAGTTATCCTGAGTTATCTCTATAGTTATGCTGCTATAGGTTTAGACTGCTGGAGGAAATAGGGAACCCTATTTCATCATTATGCTTCATTCTATCTCTATTCTTCCACTCTGCAGAATCTGTTAGTTCAATCTCTAATGTTCTGCTCTCTCTGCTTTTTCTTATAGTAGCTTTGCTTCGTCTGGTCCTGTTTAGCTGTGACACCATCCTGGAGAGAAATTTCAGCTGTGATGCTGTCATCAACACCTTTGTTTACAGATGTTGGAGATCGGCCTGTTTTCCAGTGTAGTCCTGTTTCTCTGACTGTGACTGGCTGGATGTGCTCTCTTCATCCTCTGACATGGGAGCTGGCTCGGAGCTCGTCTGCCTGGCTGTGTGTTTCCTGGACGGGGCCGCCTTTTACAGCTGCTTTTTGTATCTCTGCTTCTGTCTCCTTGAACCCCAGTCGGCCTCAGCAGATGGCTGCTCACACTGAGCCTGGTTCTGATGGAGTTTTCGTTCAGCTAAAAGGGAGTTTTTCCTCTCCACTGTCGCTACAAGCATGCTTTGTGTGAGCGATTGCATTCGAGTCAATGAGTCGATGCAATCAACTGGTTTTTCTTAGATAGAAAACTTTTAATCAATCTGACTGTATGATCTGGTGACATGTAAAGTGCCTTGAGGTGACATGTGTTGTGAATTGGCGTTATATAAATAACCTGACTTGAATTGAAATACTTAGAGAATATTTTATCATACACAACTTACATGTATATATTATAAAGAGGAATATAATAATGAGAAAATATGGAAGACAAAATGCTGGAAGACAAAATGAATCCACAGCAGTTAAAATTCAAAATCCCTGAATACATGCCCAAAGCTAGAGGGAAATGTTACCACGGAGCGTAGAACTTCACGAGCATGGTCTCGTGCTCCGTTGCCAGGTAGTCGAAGTCCGCGTCCCCGAGCTCCAGTACATCTCTGCGCGCACACAGAGCGGTAGAACATAGAGAGAATAGCGCCAGAGAGACCGAAGACAGGAGATGGATAACAGGCATCATGAGAGGGAGACAGTGGGACCAAAAATAGACTGGAAAATGAAATAAATACGAAGAAGATTGGGCTGTCAAAGAGCGAATCTGACTGTAGCTACATTTAGCATCAAGCTACCCCGAAAAAATAGACATTTCCGGGTATAGCTATCAAAATAATAGTACATATTCTAACTATAGTTTCTTATTTGTATTTCTTGACGTTACCTCTTTAAAACTAATTATATTTCACTCTCAACGTTTATAGCGAATTTACATAAAATGTTTTCAATACATACTCCTTTATTCACAAATAAAATGACCAGCTTTTAATTTGAAGGGTTTAATCGGTTTTGACCATTTCCTATGTGACCTGCCTTTCGGTGGGTAACCGCTAAATGAGAGGCGGGTCATATGAGACGGATCCAAAAAACCTCTTCTCTGATTGGTTCTCTGACATGTTAAGCTATGTGATGTAACCGTACTATTGGTCAACAGCCTGCCAATTTTAAGGACAGTTAGCTTACCCTTTTATTTACAGTAACTAGAAAATATAATAGATATATAATATATATTTGACGTTCAATTATATTAAAAATAATTCAATTAAATAAAATTATGTTACGCACATTTAAATAGTAAAGAGTAGAAATTATTATTTTAAACTGAATAGGGCTTGGTCGTCGTGACGTAAGCACTTCGCGTCGCCGCCATGTTGAATGCGTCTTTTATCGCGGCTCAGACTACTGCCTATGACTACCGCGTACTGTACTCCCTCTCAGCCGTGTTTTAATTTGATTAATTTCACCTTAACTTGATTTCAACCATGGTAAACCGTTGCTATATTGTGGGCTGTAACAGCTCAACACATGATCGCCATGGAAACATAGAAAATGGGTTAACTTTCCACCGCTTTCCTGACTGGAGGCGTAACCATGGAGACCAAGCGTCAGAGATAAAGAGTCGTCGGCTAGCTTGGATCGCGGCTGTAAGACGACCGAACATAACTTTCCACAGTATTCCAATGTCATTGAGAGTGTGTTCCCTGCATTTTCATTCTGGTAAGTTAAAGATGCACGGTTTTATTTTATAGCCTACTTTGTTTCTTTCCTTCAAAGTTGGGATCTTTTACGGGAAAATAATAAAAACGGCAGCGGGAAAAGGCTCAAATACGTGAGAAACCCGGAGGGTTGGCAGTTAACGTTACTAACTACACCTTTGAAACACATAGCAGCTAGTTAAAAGTACATTACATGCGTGAGTGGTTGTTAGCATTAGCGGTTAGCAGTTACTAAACTAGCAGGTTCCAGAGGCCCGTCTGATCACAGCTTACCTTCGTACGGATTACTGTGTTCCCACTGTTTGCTGGCTTTATGATCTGCAGCTCCTGAACCCATCCATTCATGAACTGCACATGAGACTCCAAGGACTTGTAGCTTGGGAACTGTTTTGAAGTATAGGCGCTCACTCATCGGTGCTCCACTCGTTGTTTGGAACTTTATATGGATCCAAATGATTAATAATGCTGATTTTGCCACCATACCGGTCCCTGGCTTATCTATTTAATGTGTCCCGGTAAATTCCAGATCCTTTTCGGGATTTTAACATCTTTTTCTCTCTCTACCTCTATCTCTTCTTTCAACAACAACGTTGTGTCAGAGCTAAGTTTACGTTTGCGTAGCAGTCAGTATGGCTGCGACGTCCCACAATGCAACGTGGATCCCGCGCCCTATTTACTGGGTCAATTTTTTGGCTTCATCTTACCGTTAGTGGGATTTCTGCCCATTTACAACTAATTTATTTATATAGGTGTTAAACGCTGCCTTCTATAGGACTGAGATTAAAGTATAATACTGTAACCAATTTATTAGTAAATGTTTTTAATCATGTAAAATGAAGAATCAATACGTCTAAAGATTTGCATTAAATATATATATTTCCCAAATTAAGCTGATCAACCAACGACCATCCGTTTCTAAAAAAAAAAAAAAATACAACTTTTAGTTCTTTTGCTCCACTTATCTGAAACCAACTCCCAGGAAAGTGCAGAAACCCCAAGTTGCAATTAATTAAGATAAATAAAAAAAATTGAGTGGTGCTATCTAAACATTAGTTTGTTTGTAGTCAAGCTTTCTTTCATTTTAATATCCATTTTTTTTAATCATGGTATTTTATTCTCTTCAATTATTAATTTTTATTATTTAATTTTATTATTTTAATTAATTATACATTCCACTGCAGCGCACTTTTGTTTTATATATTTTTTTTAAGTATAGCACTTTAAATTGTATATTTTATACAAATGTGCTATGAATATAAAATTTTCCTAACCCACTACAAAAACAACCAAGATTTTATTTTGAAAAATATAAAAAGTTTTATTGATGTTACTTTTTTGCACATTAAATACAGATAAACAGTCAGTAGAAAAAAAAAAAAAACCTTCATCCAAGATAAGCCAGGCTGTTTTTTTGGCCATGGTTACCAAGGCAAGATTTGTTTTCATTTTTTTAATGAGATCTATGGAGTTTAGTTTAAATACTCCTTCAATAAAAACAGCTTTTTAGCAGACGCTAGAGCAGAAACAGACACTGTAACTCTAATCCAATTGGTAGTTAAGGACACACAAATTTACATAATTCAACATACATTTCTATTAAAATGTATCTTAAACAGTTAAAGCTGCCTGTAAAAACTAAAGGTGTTCAGAGTGAAGGGACACCAAGTGTTTAAGGCATTTAAGAGTCCCAAACCCTGATAGGAGAGAGCCAGTACCAAATCTACACTCATTCATTTCTTCAGTTCAGCAGTTTAAATGCTAGAAATAACAGGCAGATAAAATCTTTCAGAGCAATTAGAACTTAAAAAAACTTAGTCTATTTTGACTTTTTTTTTTTGGTTCCTGTGAAACAGGGACTTCACAGAATGCAAAGATCACTGAGGTCATTGGAGATATATTAAATACACGTAACAATAAATACATTCAAATTGGTTCACAAGTAACTCCACGCATTTCCCAATCAGAGGTGCTGAATTATTTTGTCACATCTGGAGGAACGGACCAGTGATCTGGGATCCGCTAAGCTTTTCAAACTTCCTGAGTACAAAGTTAATTTTATTAATTGAATTTTAGTGCCACCTTCCCAAAATGTCAAACTCAAGCAGCTTATATGAGATTGAACTATAATTTAATTGTAGGTGGAATGTATAAGAAAATTAAATCTAGTAACATCAAAAAACAAAAAAAACTTGTTGGTTGGAGCTGGTTGATAGTTGCCTTTTGTATCTCTGCATCTTTCCACGTCTTCTACTGTCTCCTTAAACACCAGTCGGCCTCAGCAGATGGCCGCTCACACCAAGCCTGGTTCTGCAGGAGGTTTCTTCCTGTTAAAACAGTTTTCCTCTCCACTGTCGCTACAAGCATGCTTGGTGTGAGGGACTGCCTTTTAAGTCAATGCAATCAACTGGTTTTTCGTAGATAGAAAACTTTTAATCAATCTGACTGTATGATCTGGTTGATTTGTCTCTGTAAAGTGCCTTTAGATGGCATGCATTGTGAATTAGTGCTATATAAATAAACTGAATTGAATTTTGTCGTCTGCTGTTCTACTCTAAAAGACCAGATTAGGGCAGTCACCATACTTTTTATAGCTATAATAAAACATCACTATAATAAGAACCCCATTAAAGCCTGATACTAATAAACTCTTATTGATGTTAGTCAAAAACTGACTACCATTTGGTAGTTAAGCTGCTTGAAAGTTTTGTCCCACTCATTCATTAGATACTTTGATACATTCTAACATATGATTGAATCTTATTGTTTAGCTGTAAAGTGGCACTACTTTATATAAACCATGTAGCAGAGTAGCCCATTTAATAGTCAGTGTGACTAGATAAAGGGACAATATGAATTACCATAAAAAAACCAGCAAATTTTAAAAATACTTTTTATAATATTCAATGCTGTGAGATCAGTTTAAGTCTGTATCAGCATCAATATTGTAATGAGGTACAAATATAGTCTAAACACTTTGGACCTGCGGTAGATTTACAGATAAACTCTGAATCCTTCATTAGTTGTTTACTCGGACCAGCACATTGGGGATGAAAGCATGGAGGGAAAAGTTTCCCTGAAAATTTCCCAATTCAGAACTTGTTTCCCAGAACTGGGCTCAAATCATGTCCAAAACGAGAAAGATTAACAGGGAACCTAAGACCAAACTGAGACCTCCAAGCTCCCGTCTCATACAGGTGGATTCTGAAACTTTGCTCTTAACAATGGAGCTGGATCTTTCAACATTTTAATAAAGTATCAGAACTAAACCGGCAAGCTAAAACTGTTTGATGCAGATCCTGAGCCGCTTCTGGTGGGCTTCAACAAAGGTCACCGATGTGACCTCGCCTCAGAAGAAACATCTTCAGATGTCCACTTTGTGTTGAGTAGCAGCCTTCTCCATGCGTTGCTGGGTCAGTCAGGAGCAGTTTCTGGTCTGTTCCCTGGCTGTCCTTCCGAAGAAGCAGACCTTTGCGACGCAGATAGAAAAAGCTTCATCAGGTCCTCAAAGCGGAGTCGTACCTAAAAGAACAATGCATAAATCAGGTAATTCAGTTTAGGGAGCAAAAACTGGCCTGAACACTGAAGCTCTGCCCACCCTCACCTGTTCAACAGTTTTATTTCCTAACTGGGAGGAGACTTGTCTGAAGGTCTTCATGTTGGCTCCTCTTTGCTGGCAGGCGGTCAGGATGGCACGGTCGGCCTCACTGCAACAGGAAGCAGCTGGTTGTCAACTTTCAACCTTTTGTTTCCATTTAGACCAAATCTCACTGATCTTTATTAGATAACTTTAACTGTAACTTTGCCTCTATGCTTAAGGTTACAGCATCCAGCTGTTCCCCCCACCCCCCACAAAGGATGTTCAGTAATCACCTTCATTCTGCCATGATGCCTATACCATCACCACCATGCTTCAAAGTGGGGGCAAGGGCTCTTATTTGGAGACTTAAGAAGGCAGCTGGTTGCAATGTATGTTATTTAAAGGAATTGAAGTAAAGAGGAGTTTAATACAAAACCCTGCCACAGTTTTAAGATTGCAATTCCAACCAGCCATCATATTGGCTAGTACATCAGCGATCTAATTACAGTAACAAATGGAGATGTAAAACTAAACTTTCCCTCTCCCTAGGCCAGACAGGATCTATAAGGGAAGTTGGAACCCAGCTCCATCCATCTCCAAAGCTAGTTCTTTTTTTTATTTTATCTTTACTGATTTTCAGGAAAGTATCTTTTACATAGACATAGGCCTCTAAATCGCAGGATTAACTCCAAAATTTGAAATAAGGTGAACAAGTAAGGCATTGCATCATAGCAGTCCTCCAAGCCTAGTTCATTTTAGCATCTTTGTCCTGGGATCTATCTTTCTGTCAGGATCGATATTTCATGAGCAAAGGTGAGGGTATGAGCATAGGCAATGGCTCAGCTCAATCTTTTCCTCAACGTCCAGTCATCCCTTGTAAACAGGATTCCAAGGGATTCTCATTAGGGTGAGCTCCAATCCAGAGGGGAAATCCAAATTATTTTAAGGTTTAATGGGTAAAAGAAACAAAGTCTATAAAGCAGGGCTACTTTGTGTTGCTCCATTATATAAAATATATTGAAGCTGCTGTTTGTGATTTAAAAAGATATAGAAACATTAAATGTGCATAAATGACAAAAATATCCTGATGTTGGAAAGTTTTCACACCATATAAACCTAAACACTTTTGTTTGTTCCCACCGAGTCCAAACGACGACCTTCTCCCCGTTGGAAGTCACTGTGATGTTTTTGGCACAAACAGCTTGTTTCTTCCTTTCTTCCTCTGCATAACTTCCACCCGGAGCGATGATCGACTCGCCGCTTTGGTTATTGGGAGTCTGAGCAGCTGAGTACGTGTCAGTGGTTTTGGAGCAGCTGTGGAGCTGCTGGAAGATCTCCTGGACCTCACCCTGCAGGTCTGGATGCTTCATGAGCAAAGATGAAACCTGAGAGGAAAAAAGTGGAACACGATGCAACACTTTGAGATTAGTTCTTAAAAAGCCAACGCAGGAATGTTAATTACATGAAATTATAAAAAATAGCATGAAATACTGTTAAAAAATTGGCCTGCCAAATAAATGACTGAATAAAATAAATTGAATAAAACTGGAACCTAAGAAAATTATGCATTAATTTTTTTTTTTATATGAATCATATTTATCTTCTCTTGATTGGACAAATGTTTTAACCTAAAGTTTATTCTCAAACACATGGATAATATTTGACATATAAATCGCTTTTAAACTTTTAGCCTGACCAGCAAGGTCAGTGAATGCATCACACCTGATCACCAGCTGGGCATAGGATCACCCTTAATCCGGCCAGAAGTGGCAGCTGCTGCTGTCAGCATCACTGATGAGTTAAAAATAAAAGTTTTTTCTTTTATCCTGGGGTTCTGATGGCCAACCTTTCAGGCTGCTACTTTAAACAGGGAATGAATTTCAGCAGATACATCGGAGGAAGGATTAAGGCTGGCAGCCTTCAGGAAATACCAGAAATAAGGTGAGGATTTATATTTTGTAAGGCAGGGATCTTAAAGGAATAGTGCACCCAAAACATGATTAGCCTTCATTTTCTACTCACCCCCATGCTGAACAACACTCTGGAGTACTTTTTTGATATCTCAAATGCATCTGGAGATCTGGGAGGCTTCTTGCTGTCTGCTGACATTCAAATAATGGAGGTCTATGGCGCCCGAGGCAGAAAGGTCCATAAAAGTCCACAAAAAACGTGTCAATATTCCTCCATACTGGTCGTCCAATGTATTCCAAGTGTCCTGAGTGGGTAGCATCCAGAATTTACTCGAAACAAAGTCTTTTAGAATGTTTTTAGAGCATAAACAGTAGTGTATAGGATTTCCTGAAAGCGCGCACATGCGCGTTCACGACGCTACGGAAGCCGGCAGACTAAACCAGCGCATTCAGCTCGGCAAAGAACTCATGCTCTTCCTCAACACTGAAGTCCTCAGACATCTTTCTTTCGTTGTTTCTTTCTTTGCACAGGTAAACAGCACATTTCTTCTTCTACGCTTGCATTATTGGCAGAGCAGACGCTGAATGCGCACTTTCATCTGGTTTGGTCTGCCGGCTTCCGTAGCGTCGTGAGCGCGCATGTGCGCGCTTTCAGGAAATCCTATACACTACTGTTTATGCTCTAAAAACATTCTAAATTACTTCGTTTCGAGTAAATTCTGGATGCTACCCACTCAGGACACTTGGAATACATTGGACGACCAGTATGGAGGAATATTGACACGTTTTTTGTGGACTTTTATGGACCTTTCTGTCTCGGTCACCATAGACCTCCATTATTTGAATGTCAGCAGACAGCAAGAAGCCTCCCAGATCTCCAGATGCATTTGAGATATCAAAAAAGTACTCCAGAGTGTTGTTCAGCATGGGGGTGAGTAGAAAATGAAGGCTAATCATGTTTTGGGTGTACTATTCCTTTAAGAGGTTGCCTTGATACTAAAATTTAAAAACTCAAGATCAGCACCTAGGAAACAATTCAATCATTAATACTATTTTTAAATACAATGGGGATAAAAAAATGCCAAATATTTAAAGGTGTAAAAATATGTTTATACATAAAACACATTGGAAAAACAGAGGTGATACCAGGCTGAATTACAATTGCATATGGATACGGCGTTTAAGTATCAATACTTTTGATAACCCTGACAATCAAGTTTTCATTGTATTATCTTGGCATTGATCAAACATTTTTTTGTGCAAAACAGCTTAGATTTTTCAGTACAACCCAGTGAAATTGTGCTCTCTATGTTTAGAAAGAAAAATATGAAGGATTTCTACGTCTAAAGTTGGAAATCCCAACAGTTACATCCTTAGAAAGTAGATTTTTGATGGAGAACTCTGCGGTTTCTACCAACACCCACATCTAATATATGCAACACAAAAATGACGAGAACCGTAGATCTAAGGGACACTAATAGAGACTGTCGTCGTCTATGGTTACCATGATTATCACAACTACATCCTTTTCTGTCGTCTACCTTGTCCACATCCTCTGATGAGGGGGCGGAGCTTCCCTGAAGCACAGACACCACCTGCTGGTAGAGTACAGAGCCCTCTCCCAGGCTCCGACCCATCCGCCTCAGGAACCGCCGGCTGCGCTCAAACAGCTGCTGCTCCAACAGCTGATGGAGAGGAAGAACAGTTCAGTGGGATTCCTGACCAAAGCTTGCCACACCAATGAAGCGTGACTCACCAGCCCACATCTGCCTGCTTGACTGGGGTTCAGGAAGGCAGCAAAGTCTTTGAGCAGCTGAGGCCATGGCTGCAGCAGGCGACCCAGTCTGTTATACAGGAGCTCTGGGGAGCCTGAAGGCCCCGCAGCTGAAAATTCATCCAACACCTGCAGCAGCTGCTCAGAAAGGCCCGGATGCATCTGGACAACTTCACATACCTGCACAGTCCAAACATTATGGCAAAATATCAGCTGTGGTTATCTGGCTTCACATATTTTAGAAGTTCTTTGTGCATTTATATCAAGTCCATCTTCTTTTAAGAAATCAACCAAATCTTTAAATCCACTCAACCAGTGTGCCATTCTATTAAATCCTTGGAGGTTCCTAATGGGACATTAGTAAAGGTATAGAGAAACATACTTTAAAGGAGGGATTGAGTTATGTCTCAGAGTCCCCAGGAAATGACTGCAGGGGCTGCAGCTCAGGGGGGAAAAACAATTGACATGGCAACATTAAAAATTAACTTGTGTTAAACAGTTTGCTATATTAAACAAGGTTCGATGAATCAATTAGATGGAAATATGAGTGAACCAAGTCATCAGATATTTTGGGCCCTGTAAACAAAACAAAAAAAAGCAAAAAAAGACTAAATTGTCATAAGTAAAACACGAATACTTTGTGTCATTCCAAACCTTTCCGATCCACAACACGCTAACTTTTCACCACTAGGGGGCACTGGACCAATAACTTACAGGTTTCTCACCCAGAAAGCAACTGGGAATGCTCACTGTGGCCGAATTACGAGGGCTGCTTCTGAATACAGTAAATCTGTGAGCACTCTTTAGCTAAAGAGCTTCAGTAGTGGCCATGATAAGTGTTTACCAAATAGTGCTTACAGCAATGAAGGAGCTAGGACAAGGAGGCAGGATAGCTGGTTTAGCATAGGAGCTATACAGTTTCCCACAATCCTTTGCGTGACAAAACGTTTAGGTCAAGCTCACCTCAAAGAGCTCAACATAATCACCCTTCTTTTTTCGTTTACTGTGTGTGAAACATGCTAATTTACACACCTTCATATGTTTAGAGCTTCAGCCACAATGTTTGTGTAACTTTTGTTTTTAGTAGTTCTTTTTATGGAAGGCTGTAGCCCCATTTTGACTAGGATTATTCAAAAACTTAATCGTATTATAGTGACATTCGTTAGGCTGAACGCTGTCCGGATTCAGCACAGCAGTCCGGAGCACAACTCATAGACAAGATCAGATTCACCCCTTTCGATACATTTTAGGAGTAAAAATATATTTCATCAGCAAGAAAAACTTTTAGGTCCGTTAGCTTTAGTGTTTGCTGGAAAACTCAGGCTGCTGTAAAGCACTGCTCTGGTTCCATACCCTATATATGGACCTGAAAACCAGTTTAATACATCTCAGAATATCCTAATACTTGGATCAAAAGTTACACAAATTCAGATTAAAACACATGAAATTCTAGGTTTCCAATCTGAATAAGTGGACAGGAACAAATGTGTTTGTGGGGAACTGCAAAGTGTGTCACTGTTCTTACTCTGTGTAGATAATCCTGAGCAAACACCACATCCTCAGACTCCCTCTGAACATCGTCTTCATCATCATCATCAGTCTCCTCTGATGAAACCTTCTCCTAAAAAAACAAACACGTTTTACATTCACTGCTGCAGCAGAGGAAGCTGCTGGTTTAATGTTAAATGAGTCTCAAGGTTCATTAAAAGTCTAACCTGAGTAATTGGTGCTTCAATATCTTCCTCATCACCATCAGCAGCAGCACCAGCACCAACCGCGGCAGCTTTGGACGGGACCGCTACCACGTTTCTGTCAGGTTCTGACTCCGCCTCTACCGGATCTGGCTGATCTTCGCAATCAGAGATGCTTCCAGAATCGCTGGTCGAAGATTCAGACAAAACCAGAAGCACATCACTCTCTTCTTCCATCTCTTCTTCTGTGGTGGCCTCATCATCAGTGATTTCCAAACAGGAAGTCGGACCTTCAGTAGACTTAGAGAGTCCTTGTTCTCTCCTCTCTATCGATCCTTCTTTAAGGTTTGGTGTCTCTGCACTTGGAGGGCAAGCAGACAGCCTCCCACTCTTCCTCCTCCTCAGGCCTGCTAGTGTCCGACAGTGATATTTAATCTGTTCTGTAGCTGGCATAGAGATGGTGGAGGTGATTATGAGGTCAGCAGTTTTCTCGTTAGTAGAGGGGAGGGGCTGCTGGAGGAGGACGAAACCGATCCGTTTGAAGTCCAGGTTCTGTGGAAGGCGCGGCGGGTATTTGGTCCCGGAGGGGAAGCTGTAGCTGGAGGAAGAGGATCGAAGGAAGGCCAGGTGGCTCTGACGGGCCTTGTTCCTCCTGCAAGAGGCCGGGAGCTCTGGGGAGGAGCTGGCTGGGCTGTTGAAGTGTTTGATGAGGGGAGAGATGACAGGAAGGCTCCTCTGGCAGAAAAAAAAAAACAACTAAATATCAATAATTCACCAAGCTTCCATGATGATATAAAATATTCTAAATCTAACTTCAGCATAGTTCATCCGATCAGCTCTATGAGCTTTCCTCCTTGTGTCAAAGAAAACATTTTTAGAAAATTAAAACAAAAGCTCTTTCAGAACCAAAATTGTCATAATTTCTCTTCAGTTAATGTAAGAATATTTTTTCACTTTAATCAAAAGCATTTTCTTAGCAGATTATAACATATTTCAAGCGTCTATTCATGGTAAACCATGACAATGATATATTAGAGCGGGACTTTTTGGGTATAAAGATTACATTCTTTTTAAATCTGTATTTTTCTTTCTCACCAATCGACTCCTTCTTCTGAAATCTGTTCATCCCTTTTTGTTCTCAGATGTGCATTTATAACTACCGTAATAAACTAGTTAGTTTCATATATATTTTATATTTTCACTTTGTCTTACAGCATTTTCAGCTTGAATTGCGTTTCTCTTTAAATTCATGTCACCTCGCAAAGAGGATGAGTGAAATAAAAGCTTAGTTTTGTCAGTCATTTCTCATTATTATTTTAAAACCTATTGGGGGGGGGGGGGGGGGGGGGATATTCCTACCAATCTGTGATGATTTTTCAACCATATCTTCCTGACCTATGCTGGATGGGATTAGGTTTAAAGCTAATCTATGGCAGTAACCTCAGCCTGGCAGGGAAAGGGTGCTGCTGAATACTTTTTGTTTTTTAAAACGTAAGAAAATAGAGAGTTTTTATTCATCCTCCAACTTCAAGCATAAAGGATAAAAAGCCCCCCCTCTAGTTTTTGGAGGAAATATAAATCGAAGTCTGGTTAATTTAATCCTCATTTAATCTCTTCAGTTCACCCCTCCTGAGGGCCAACCCTAATCCGAATGTTAGAGGATGAGAAACCTAAACCTAAAAGCTGTGGCTTTACCATGACATCATTAAAATCTGATTGGGACTGACTTTCGGTGTGCATTCCCAGTTTTGGATATAAAAATGGCGGCACCCTGCTTCTGCAGTACGGTTACTATTGGATGAAAAGGCTTTAATACCACGAGCCACAGTGGCATGTTGTTCTGCTCTCTCGCCACAGGAGGGCGCTGCTCTGCTGGGTCGACGTTCCTGCAGGCTACCGGCATGGATCTCACCACCTGTTGATACCTGAAGGCCTGCAGAGGAGGAAGAGTCAGCCGCTGAAGCAGAGACACAGGACAGGCGGCATGTGGGAGCTTCTGTTTTCATTGCTCACCTTTACAATGTTGTCAGGCGTTCCAGGTCTGCAGCACTGCAGGATCCTCCGGCGGACTTGAACCACAGTTTTCCTGAGCAGAAACTGAGACACGAGCTTCGGTGGGTCACACGCTCCCTCCATGTTCCTGAGGCCGAGGACCAGCAGGCTAAGGAAACAGAACGACACATTCTACCCTGATTTTCTGAAGCAGCAGTTTTTTGGTAGCTTTTTTTTTCCAGCCACATGCATCTTTCTTACTCATAACATTTAACATTTTCTGCTCTCAGACATGAGTGTGATGTAGCATCTGGTTCCAGTATAAACAATCAGTATTAAACACTGTGGATGATGTGTTTATATCTTTCTAAAATAATATCTGCAGCTCAGAGGTTTAAGAAAACCTCTTTGATTGAATCTGTTAATTCAATGGATGAATCACAGTAAAGGAGCTACGGTTTGCGTTACCAGTCCTCTGCTGCAGTGAAGGCCGCCGTCCTGCGGGGGCAGTACATAGCCGGGTCGAGGTTGGCACAAGGCAGCAGTTCAGGGTACAGGAAGACGGGTCGGGTTGCGAACAACCAGGCGAGCTCAGCTGGCATGACAGGGTAACAGCGCACTGATAACCCAGACACAGAGAAACAAAGACTCCATTCAGAAAAGCTCAAACTGCTTCTGACAGAAATGTTGCAGGACTCTCACTTTGTCCTCTGCCATCAGGCTTGCGGTTCTGCGGCCGGTAGTTGATGGGTGCCTGTCGTAGCTCCTCTAGGAGCTCCAGCGCCCCCTGCAGGTTGGAGGCTCTGAAGGCGCTGCAGAAACCAGAATCTGCAGACCTGATGAGTTCCCCCCTCTGAGCCAACATGTCTAACTCAAACTGAAAAACAGATCAGCACAGAAACAGTTTAAGAAGCATCTACTTTACACACAGAATGAAGGAAACATCCAGATTTACCGACAGAAAAATAATAGCCTTATATTAAACCTCAAAACAGCAGTAAAGAGATGTTTCAATCATCCTGTTGAATATAACGTGTTGCTGTGTAAGTTACCAGGAACTGGCGGGTGGTCTCCGCCTCACTATGCAGTTTGGGGACAGGTGAAGTCAGCAGGTTAATCTGAGTCAGCAGCTGGATGTGCTGAGAGCCGCAGACAGAGAGAGAGAAGTCAGAGCTGATCTGAGATACGGCCTTGATAACAGCTGAACCCGCTCCAGGTTCTGTACCTGCTGAAGCTGCTGCTGCAGTCTGTGCTTCTGCTGGGGGTTCAGCTTCAGGGTGAACGGTTCTGGACTCACAGTGCTAAACAGAGGGTTTGTCTGCCGTCGCTTTCTAATCCAACTCAGCTGCTGCCTCACGGTTTTCAGGCCTGTGATTGGTTGGTCCTCAGCCTCATGGTCAGCTGCTCCTCTGAGGTAGAAAAACCAGCAGTCAAAATGAGGGAAACATCCCTCTGTGGTCTAAGTGAAGCTCCTCTGTCCTACGTACATGTTCTGTTGCCCAGGTATGTGTGGCTTAAAAGTGGATGTTTCCTCCTGCAGCTCCTCGTCTTCGTCTTGCGCTTCATCATCTACTTCCTGTCCTGCCAGGTCCTCTTTCAGCTGAGACACAGACAAACAAAGAAACAGCTTAGCAACATCCTTCAGGTTAATACTAACTTGACCTTCATTAAGGTTGGTTCCTGATGTGTTCTTTGCAGTAAAAAAAAAAGAAAAATATACATATAATGAGGAGTAATGATTATACGTATTCAGACAACAAATATTGCTCATACTGGTGTAATATTTCATGGAAGGAAGGAAAAAATGAAGGAATGATTGATAAAACAAGGCAAGGAATGAAGGATAAAATAAGGAGAAGGGAGGATAGATGGATTAAAAGAAAGAAGGAACGAAGGAATGAAAATGAGGGGAAAGAAAAGCAAAGGACACAGGAAAGAATGGAAATTAAATAGTATAAAGGAACCCACGAGTATCAGATGACTTGCTGCCTCTAACAGACAACATGGACATTTTGTGGGTTACTGACAGAATCAATGAATGAATAAAAAGGTTGTTTTTTTACCGTTTCAAACAGCTCCTCCATCAGCTCGTTCACTTCCTTCTCTAAAAAGAGAGAAAAACATCCATGAATTCATTGTTTCTAAAGAGAGAGTAAATTAAACCAGCAGAAAATATCGAACAGTAAAAAACAAAATTTTTTAGTCTAAATATGACTGACAAGGATAGTAGCCTCTGACCTACAGGTAACAATACGGTTCCAGTGTTATATACTGCTATGGATCTAATTAAAAACAAAATTTATGCACTCACAGACAAAATACAAAAACTATGTTTTTAATATTATATCAGGATTTTAAGGAGTTTTGAGGTTCAGTATTAATGACCCAAAATAAAAAGCTCCCTCCATTAAACTCCATCCGTCTGGTACTGACTGGTGATCCGGACTGCCTTGTCATCTCGGTAATCCTCCAGGTCGGGTTCATCGATGTCAGCCAGGAAGTTGTACTCTGGATCATCTTCATCGTCACACTCCTCTGTTAGAGAAATAAGAGAGAGTTAAGTTCAGTTGATTTTAGACTCACCAGAGGTTTATCTGTAAGAATATGAGACCGGTTCTGTAAAATGACTGGACTTTAAAGCCCAGCAGTGAGACAGTCGCTCACCTTCATTGTCAACGTCGGAGCTCATCAGGCCTCTCAACCAGTCCGTCCACTCCCTGTCCTCCGGCGCACAGCTGGAGTCGTACATGTCTGGAGTTATGTCAGGAGCTTTGAGCTCAGCCTCCAGCTGGCCTAAGGGGACATCACGAAGCGGACGCTTGGACCGGGTCCGGCACGCCATCAACCCAGACTCCTCCTCCGCGATAGGCTGCATACGACAGGTAAATAATCATCAGTCATGTATTTAAACACAGTTAAAGCTTCCGTGGATCTTGGTGGTTTCAGTCTTGAACCTAATTTAACATCCTATAGATGTGAAATGAGATCAGCCAGACCGCTGATTCATTGAACTGTTTTAACATCCCCCAAAATATTCTGAAGACTAGCAAACATGGAAGAGCTAGTTGGAACAGTTCCTTACAAACATATCCAATACATCTAAGAGTTTTCTTCTTTTTTTTTTACCCACAGTCCAACACAAAGCCTAAAACATTTGGAGCCATTTTAGTCAGTATAACAAAACAAAGTAGGAAGTAGTAGTTCAGCCTCTCACTATCATGTATCACCTGAAAATAACAGCCATGAATCTGCTGGGGTTATCGTTCTTCCAGCTTTGCAATGGTATACAGACATTTCTGCTCATTCTTCTTCACATACTATCTCAAACTCCATCAGATTGGCCAGGGAGCATCTGCATATAGCTTTCCTCTACAAACAGCATTTTGCACGAGCAGACCAGAATAGCAGAAATACGTTACTCGGAAAAAGAAACTCATATATTGCAGAAATGATTTATATTATATATTTTAAGCCTTTTTTGCAAGTATAGAGAGTATATATTGTTAACTAGAACAGACTTCCTAACCTCCATCTGATTACATTTCCTCTATTCAATGTCTCCTAGTTACCTGATAGGGCTCCAAACAGCCAGCTAGCTCCTCTTCAACAGCGTGAAGCTTCTCCAAGAAGGTGCTGTCGGGTACACCTTTGGAGGGCGGAGCTTTGGGTGGAGGAGGGGGTCCCATCAAGCCCTCCTTCAAACGCCTGGATCGAACTCGAGAAGACTGAGAGGAAGCAGGAGTAGAGTGGTCATGGATAAAGGCAGTGAGATGGAAAGGTCATCCAATCAATCCTGTCGTCGTCAGTCGTTACCTGCCAGGGGCTGCAGCTGTCCTCCTCGACTCGATTCAGCCGAGTCCCTCTGGGAGAAGAAGCCGTGCTCTCCATGTCGCTCTCCTGGAATGTCTGCATAATAAGAACAATCAGTGAGTGATTATTAATTAGCAGAGGGACAAAACAAGAAAAGCCATTTAAGGGCCTGACATCTTCAGCAGTCTCATCTTCCTCTTCTTCATCTGGACGATATTCTTCATCAGAAGAGTCTTCCTCATCCAGTGGGATGTCCACAAACTGAGGAGCCTGAAGCCAAATGGTAGGAGACAAAAAAACGCTGTAATTTATAGATTGTACAAAGATACGGCTTCAGTTTATTAAATTTTAAAACAGTAAACATCAACAGGATCTCTTAAATGTGTTCAGGCTGCAAAAAAAAAAAATTACAATTGAAAAATATATATCTTAATTCAGAAATAGCTCAAAATATTTTTGGGGATACAAAAAAAAAGCATCTTCATTGGGTGCTTGTATTCTTACTAATTTAGAAAAAAACAACACAGAAATAAGAATTAAAAAATAAAAACAGAAATAAAACAGAATAAAAATTATATGATTATTATTTTTGGTTTAATAGTAAGATAAAATGTGGTGTAGAAGATTAAAACATAGAATGAAAAGTACAAACTCTTGTTTAGAATTTTAATAATTAATTGAGGAATAACTGAGGATGATGCCATTAAATAAACATGGACCAGAGGGAGATGTATGTTTTTCAGACTAACAGATAACCAGGCAGATATTTAATTTTTTGAGTGTTTTACCTTTTTAGCATCGCTGCTTTTCTTGATGGGCGAGATGTTCCAGGTGGGAATGACCTGATGGGGAAACACTGACATTAAACACCTGATTCCATAACAGCATTCTGGTTTATTTATCTCCTCTAAACAGACTCACCACACCCTTCTCCACCACTTCTTTGAACTTGGATCGAGTCATTTTGGGCTCCTTAAACAAAGTAGAATTCAATTCTTAAATAAAAAGAAGCTAGAAATTTAACTGCAGCAGCGCTGAGCGTTTTCTTTAAACTAGAAACTCACAAACGGAGGAACAGCTTCGGTCTCGTTGATGGCTGCTTTCATCATGGCCACCACATGCTCATTGGTGATCACTTCCTGCAGAACAATCAAGCACAAAAAAAGCCAAAGGCTGCAACTCAAAACATAACCACCACAGCGTCAAACAGTTGACTGTTTATCTGAATAAAGTAATGATAAATCTATGCTATCTATGATAAATAATGTCACTGTTAGAAAAATGTTTCCTATTCCAGCATGAAGACATTTCATGCATGGTAAGCCCCCCTACTGGCAGCCTACTGCTGCACCCTAGGCACACAAAGGGGTGTTATAGCAGATCCTTCCTCCCAGCAGCAGTCTTTACAACCATCCCAACAAACTTAACAGACTGTGTCCTTTTTATTAAATCCTCTAATGCTTTTATGCTGAATTTTGATTGCACAGATTTTTACACATCCAAATAACCCTGCTATGTTGCTCATTTCAATTAATCTGTGGATTTTCTTCTTTCTTCTGATGTAAACTTCTTCTATTTTTGCTGCTGGTTGTCCCAAATCACCCAGATATGCAAAAATAAAAAAATAATATACTACACTAATATCTCCTTCGTTTCCATCACAAATGATGAAAGCTCCAACTTTAAATTCTGTAACTGTTTTCTTATAAAGCGCTTATTTATTTACAATTCTAGTGCTAATCTAACTATTTCACCAACATCCAGTATCAAAGCTACAATATGTTTCATCCTTAAAAGAATGTTTAACTATTTCTGTCCTGATGTTCAAATAGTGACTATCTCTGTTTAGGATAAAATCATAATAGAAAGAGCCATAAATTTAGATAATAAAGGGTGAGTTGTGTGAACTTACATGGATGATGTTTTTAACATTCACAGTGGTGAGGTTATGCTGTTTGGATTTCGTCTCCAGAGCCTGGTCCAGCTCTCTGTCGATCTCCAACTCCACTCCCTCTTCCTCCTCCTCAGTCCCGGAAGTCCTGCCCTTCTCGCTACCTTCCTTCTCATTCAGTGTTCGTTTTCTCTTCTTCACTGCCTTCTTCCTCTGAGCCTTCCCTTCTTTGTGGTTGTCCTCTGAGGTAGAAATGTTCGAATCGTTAGTTTACAAAATCTTCCTGTCTTAAGTTGTCACTTTACAACCACAACATTCAATGTGCTTTATTAAGGATTTTATATAATTCACCAAAGATTCTGTTATCAGAGAGGCAGCCCAGAGGCAAACAGTGGTTCTGGAGGAGCTGCAGATATCCACAGCTCCGGCTGAATAATCTATTAAAGCTGAACTGTTCGCTGAAAATAATTATGACTTCCTTTTCACAGTTTCTTGCAAACTATGTTAGCCTTTCCTGCAGGCTGAATTACTGGAAGTATTTGTGTGTTAACAAGCACACTAGAATGCATCCTGCACTGCTACAGCCACACAATGCCAATTACATTGCAGCATTATTAAACAAGAGCTGTCGCGTCCAGCAAGGTTATTATTTTTAATTAAAATAATGAAACCTAGAATTTAGAAAATATTTCTGTTAACTGAAATAAAAACAAAAACTGGATTGTATCCAAAATAAATAACTGGAACAGTAAAACGATTTTACAAAACAAATTAAAGCTAGCTGAATTTTAGGAGAGAATGTGCTTAGTTTTCATTTGGGTCTTTAGCATAACGCATTAATATGAGTTCCTTATCTGGAATTTACTTTTTTTTTTGTTTTACCCCCAGTATTCAAGTTGTATTACATAAAAACAAAAAACTAACTTAAACTAATACAAAATTAATTGAAACTAAACTTTTTCAAAAATTGAAAACTTAACTAGCTAATAGGGCAGCAACTATCGATTATTTTGTAAATGAATGAATCTGTCAATTAATTTTTTCAATGAACCGATTATTAATCAGATGGCCAAAGGTTCCTTAAAATAAGATATTTTATCAAATTAAACCAGGTGAGGAGTTGTGGATAGAGCATAGTGACAAAGAACAACAACATTTGTTTTAATCTTAATTGCAAAGTTTTTAGATATGTTTTTTTTTATATAATTACTGCTCTCTGTGTCACCTAAAGGCATGTTTTAGAGTCTCTCTCACGATTAATCTAACCGTTTCAGCCCTTCTAGCTAATAAATACTAAATAAAACTAAAACAAAAATAAAAATCAGAAGTAAAAAATAAATAAAATTAAAAACTAATGAAAATTTTAAAACTACATAAACCTTGGAGCGCACAACCTCACTGAAAAACATGGTAGAAGAGGAAGACGTAATCATAGCTGCTGCAATTACACCAAATTAGTCAAAATCCATGATTTCATAAAAGACAAACAGCAGAAGTGCATGAGTGGTTTCTCATGCTGCTATTCTTTCATTTGTGATTGGCTAAAATAAAACCCTGGTAGGTGGGCACTAGGTGTCACTCTAATCCAATCAGCTTGAAAGGTTCTGTTGAATGTCCCTCTTGTCTCTAAAAAGATTAAATGAAGACAGTCCAAGATTAATAATGTGGAGAAATAAACCCGAGGGTTACACATTATCAATCTGACTGGCATGGAGGTGGCAGCATCATACTGTGGGGGACTTTTCTTTAACAGGGAAGCTAGTCAGATGATTAGAGGAGTCTGCAAAAGACAGTGATAAAGGTTCACTTTCCAACAAGACATATAGAAATATATGTCACCAATACATGAAGAATACAGATGCATTCCATAAATTTGGCTGAGCTTAACCTTCTTCTAAAGAGAAGAACATCCCAGATGTGGAACAGTAGCAGAGAAAGACCCTTAAAAACATTTAATCTGAATGCAGCAAACCCTGAGAACAAGAGCCAGGGTTAGAAATGTACACCACATTTTGAAAACACAATTTTGCTCCCACTTCTCGATTATTCAACATATTGTGTTTTCTTTTGCAAAAAATCCCAATAAAACAAAAATAATTTTATTGGTTACAGCTTTCCAAAGTGTGGAATTATTTTAATGGTATAAATACTCTCAAGAGGTCTTTATATTTTGCTTTTAGCAGTTTAGTTCAGAGGCAGTTTTCTGATTAGTTGATAATTTCTATATAATATGAAGCTGATGAGACTTGAAAAACAAAGGTGCATTTGTTTTACCCATAGTGATGATGAGGCTGGAATCCGTGGTGTCTTCCTCCACCAGCAGGTAACCTTCCTCCTCCATCTCCACCTGTGCTCCAGCTCCTGGGAAAGCCTGAAGCGGCGCCGGTGGCTGCGGCAGCACAGCATCACTTGAGCTGAGCTGCTGTGATCCAACAGTCGAGCTACTGGAGCTGCTGCATGCCTGTTTGGTTGGGCTTAGTTTGAGGCGTTTGCGGACTGGGATCATAGTGGAGAACCATGACCTCTGATCGCTGAAGCAAACACAAGAACAAACAGTGCTGCTAAATACGACAGTCTGCATCATTAAAAAATAAAATAAATCTGATTTTCTCCAGAGCTAATTCACCAAAAAAAATATTTCACATATTTAAACATTTTTGTTATATTACCAAACAATTTCCCAATTGCTTTTTTTTTTACGATAACTTTAACAAAAACCTATTAAATAAACCTTACATGATTCATATTCATTATTTTAATATAGCTTATTTATCTAAAGTAAATAATCATCAGGTTTATGCATTTAGTATTGATACAGTATAGTTACTTGCTTAATAATCAGGGTTAATTTTATGTAATTCAAACACTGTATTTATTTGAAATAAATAGTCATTAGTATTCATTTATGTGAACTTTATTAGAGCTAAATGTTTTTCAAATAATTATACATCATATAACGTTTAATAGGTTTGTGCTAAAATGTGTCTATATATATATATAAATAGTTTTACGAGTGTACCCAGAGAAACTTTATAATGAACAAAATCAACAACAAAAAAGGCATAAAGCTATGAGAGACTTGGAAATTAAACTCACTGCCTCTTCCAGCTGCAGAATGAAGCTCCTGGTGAAAAGAAAACAAATGTTAGGCACCAGCAGCAGTGTTACCCAGACTGGGCTGCTGCTAATATTAAAGTTAATGTTGTTATATGTTATAGTGAATGTTGGCCCCTGATATTTGGCAGTTGGCGGCCACCCGCCGATAAACTCACGCCTACTGGGTCTCCAAATGGCCAAGCAGATAAGAGCACCCGACCAGCAGGGCTGAACTCCGCAGCTACAAAGCTAACAACAGTCCAGCCGACTAGCAGCTAAGCGGCTGCACCGTAACGGCCCGCTCCGTCCAAACGCTGTGAAATCAGAGAAGGACCCGTCCGAGAGTCTTTGTCAACCCGGTGTCACTTCTGGATGAAGGGAGCCTCAACCACCATGATCCATCGCCACTGGAACACACTTACCGCCACAACCGTCAGGCGATTCCGCATCTAAAAACTACACTTCCGGTTTCGCAGCATTTGGACGTCATCAAGCTGCGGTTCCCTGCAATGAAATGTTTTTTTTTAATATAACTTTATTTGGAACAGTTACAATGACAAACTCAATCAATACAGTATAACAAAGCATAACATATAGTCAATCATACCTCCTAACACTTTTCTTAATATTGTCTTTCTTTTCTTTCAAGGTGTTAAGTTTATGCAATACACTTCAAAAAAAGAGAGAGAAAAAATCGAAAATCAAGAATATCTATAATTACATACGTCGAATATAACAGAATTATAATGAAAGATAAATGAATAAATAAAAATAATAAAAAATACAAAACACACAAAGAAAAAAAAAGCCAAGTAAGCATTATTCTTAAATTTGTCTCGAGGGAGGGCTGAAATAAATTAGAGAGGTTATATGACAAACTTTTTGATTTTGGTTTCTGAATTTTGTCCAAGGAAAGATTTAGAAGATGGATCTCCTGTTTAAATACATACCATAACAGCTTAGCTTTTCCAAATCTGCCTTTAAGCAAATGGGTTAAAATTATGAAAGTTATTTTGTTTCAAAACTATTTGTGCTTTCTAAGTGCAAATCTGAAGTTGTAGAGATAGTTACATCCTATTTTTTGTTTTTCTAGAATAAAAAAAAAATCACAAGTACTATATTTTTTTATTACACCTCTTAAAATTTTAAGTACAAGTACACAAATTCTGTTCTACAAGTTGCACATCAAAAACCTCTTACGTTCTCAGTTTTGCTTCAAATGGTCCAGAACTATTGTTGCAAATCTATTTGTGCTTTTATTGTAACTTTGGTGTTTTGTAACTGTAGATTTTTTTTTTTTTCAAAATTACAAAAAAAAGTTACACTTCTCTAAATTCTTGAGTACAAGTACACCAATTTTGTTCTGAGTTACACATCACATCAAAAATGTCTTCCATTCAGTTTTGCAACAGTTGATCTAAAAAAAATTGGTACAAAACAAATTCAAACACATAAATTAAAATCTTTAAAATATATATATATTTTCATTAATACAAACCAATAAATACAACTGCACAAATCTGCTGCTGTAAGTCACATTTCAACTCTAGAAATTACGCTTTAATTTTCACTTTTGACAAATGTCACACCGGTAAAAATGATCTGTAACTTGTGGGTAGTACCCTTGATCGGACAGCAGGGGGTGCTGCCTGCTCAATCATATAAACGTGGGCTAGGTGCTTGGAAGGCAACCTCCAAATGGACTAAACTGCTTCTTTGGGAGGCACTAGGCAGCACTCAGCAGTGAAAGGTGTTCCCCATTAGGGAGAAGATGCACTCTGCCTTGACACAGCAGATGTGTGGAAGACTGTGAGTAGAGTGAACTTAAGGAAAGCGCGAGGTCCTGACAACATCCCTGGGCGGGTGTTCAAGGAGCGTGCAGGTCAGCTGGCTGGTGTCCTCAAAGGCATTTTTAACACTTCGCTGGACCAAGCCATAGTGCCAGCATGCTTCAAGTCTGCCTCCATCATTCTGGTCCCACAGAAACTGTTCTTGGAACAGCATCCAACACTATCATCCCACAGCATCTGATAGGGAAACTGGAAAAGCTGGGCTTCGGCACAACCCTTTGCAATTGGCTGGTAGACTCCCTCAAACAGACCTCAGTCAGTCCACAGTGGACAGAACACCTCTTATGTCATCACCCTAAGCACATGCTCCCCTCAGGGCTGCGTCCTGAGCCCCCTGTTGTTCACCCTGATGACACATGACTGCGTCCCCAAGTTCATCACCAATCACATCGTGAAGTTCTCAGATGACGCCAAGGTGGTGGGCCTGATCAGAGACAACAAGGACCGGGACTACGGAGAGGAGATAGAGCAGCTGGTGGGCTGGTGCAGAGATAACAGCCTTTTCCTGAATGTGGAGAAGACAAAGGAAATCTTAGTTGCCATCAGGAAGAACCTGCCTAACCAAGCTCCACTGCTCATCAACGACTCAGCAGTTGAGGTGGTCAGCAGCACCAAATTCTTGGGGGTGCACATCACAGACCTAACCTGGACTATGAACTTCACCTCACTGGTCAACAGGGCACATAAACGCTTGTACTTCCTGTGGAGGATTAGGAGAGCCAACCTGCCCCCACCCTTCCTCAAGACCTTCTACAGAAGCACAATACAGAGCGTTCTGACCAGCTATCTCCCTGTGTGGTCTGGAGGCTGCAGCGCCTCAGACTGGAAGAACATGAGAAGGGTGGTAAGAACAGCAGAGGATCATCAAGGCTTCTCTTCCATCCATTAAATTTACAATACATTTCATCCCAGCGCTGTGTCCTTAGCATGTAACAATGACTCCTCACACCCCCACCATGGACTGTTCTCCCTGCTGCCCTCTGGGAAGAGACTTTGCAGCATACGATGCAGGCCCAGCAACAGCTTTGTCCCCGCTGCATTCAGACTGTAGGACTCTAAACTTGCGTCATTAATCTGCATTACCAACGTGGCTGAAACTTTTACAATCCTTTTAAATAGATCTCAATGTACTCAATGTGACCTTTCCACATTAATGCACTTTTGCACCATTTTTAAACAGGTTTTCCTTTTCTCCTACAATATTTACATTGTAATGTAATTGTTTTGTATACAAAATGACAAAGTTATCCAAGTCTAATGTACAGCAGGATGTGCTTTGGAGTAGTGGTTAGCATCTGGCCTGTGGTCCTTTCCCAAATGTCTCTCATACCCCCCCATATCAACTTTTTTGGTAAAATGATTTACACTTCCAATTTAGGAAGTCCTCTCCTTCACAAAACATGCAACTATAAGCATAGACATACTGTAGTCCTCTGTATGTCAAGTTAATTCCAAGGCCCTTTTAAAGTTCTATACAGTACTTTTAGGCCAATGGGGAGAACACAAGTTGGGAAAAAGTTGAGTTCTATGCACCTTCCGCCACTGCTTAACCAATTAAATACCAAGAAATTTAAATAGTGCAGCCCTTTTAAATGTTACCTAATTCAACAGATCCTTACCAGAAAAGGGAAACCCCGCCAAGGGGCAAAGTTTTGGTGCTCATATGCCCAGATTAAAAGCCACTGGGGTGGGGCAGCAAGGTTATGCCAGAGTTGGCAAAATAAACTTTTAAACTGAATTTGTATTGGTCATTCTACACATTATGCCTTCAGTTAGATTGACCCCGAAATCCCACATACTCCGTCTGCGCTCCGCTCCGCCACGCTGCGCTCCAGACCGCCTGCACAAAGCAAAGCCTACAGCCGCGCTGTGGCTCCGTCCCCTCCGCTCTGAGTTCCTTGGAGATCGTAGGGGGCATGCACGAGATGAACCAGGGTTTCTGTGGATCATTAAAAATAATTACAATTCATAATTCTTTTTTTAAATCAAGGCCTTAATTGGCACAAAAATTATTTAAATATGTTTATCGAAGTATTTATAATTCTTTAATAAAAATATTTATAAAAACAATTTCGTCAGATATATTATATCGCTATTAATTTGCGTGGAACTGATCATAAAGCCGTATGTTCGGAAAGGAAGCTTGAGGCGGAGAAAAAGCTAGAGGATATATATATACGTATATGTGTGTGTGTGTTTACATACATACAGGAGTCATGGAACTGTGCTTACAGCTCCTTCATATTTCATGTACACTAATAACTTGTGTACATGGTTCTTGTTGATGGCATTAAAATCATTTCTAATAGCATTAAATTAGAGTCACTCATTCCTGTATGAACCCTGTGAACGCTTAATTTAATATTACATATTCAAAAAATCCCACCATCATCCAGCATATGTTCAATTTCTGCCCAAATATATATATATATTTTTGTAGATTTTTGTAACGGGGATAAGGATAATTCAAAACTGCTTTTTTTGAATGAACTTGTTCTCTACTCCCAAACTCAGCATCTCTTTTCATTCCTGTAATAAGAAGTTTATTTTGAATGGATTTCATTAAACTTTAAGTCCCTCGGTATAAAATAAATATTTTGATGGAGATGAGAAATCTGCTTCCTCGTTGGTGAATAACCAATAGTTTGGATCCAATCATTTAAATAAACTGTGTTAGTTTTTTATATATATATATATATATATATATATATATATATATATATATATATATATATATATATAAGAATTGTGCTATAATTTCTAGTCACCAATCTGTTGCTGCTACATTTCAATTTTATAAAAACCGGAATTTGTCGATGTTCTTTTTCCTGTTTGGTGCGATTGCGGATTTTGACCTTACAGCTCGGCTCCGTAATTTGTCGGTGACGGACGGAGAAGACGTACGTGGACGGAGACGTGCGGGGGAGTAGCGGTGGATGTGGAACAGCTCTCATTGATTTCCATGAAAGACAAGCGCTCCGCACGACGTACGTCAGCGGGGCGGAGCCGAGCGCTGACGGAGTATGTGGAATCTGGGGGTTAGTTGCACTTAAACACTCGTCCATTTGGGCTTAAAGGAATAGTACACCCAAAACATGATTAGCCTTCATTTTCTACTCACCCCCATGCTGAACAACACTCTGGAGTACTTTTTTGATATCTCAAATGCATCTGGAGATCTGGGACGCTTCTTGCTGTCTGCTGACATTCAAATAATGGAGGTCTATGGTGCCCGAGGCAGAAAGGTCCATAAAAGTCCACAAAAAACGTGTCAATAGTCCTCCATACTGCTCGTCCAATGTATTCCAAGTGTCCTGAGTGGGTAGCATCCAGAATTTACTCGAAACGAAGTCATTTAGAATGTTTTTAGAGCATAAACAGTAGTGTATAGGATTTCCTGAAAGCTCGAACGTGCGCGTTCACGACGCTACGGAAGCCGGCAGACCAAACCAGATGAAAGTGCGCATTCAGCGTCTGCTCTGCCAATAATGCAAGCGTAGAAGAAGAAATGTGCTGTTTACCTGTGCAAAGAAAGAAACAACGAAAGAAAAATGTCTGAGGACTTCAGTGTTGAGGAAGAGCATGAGTTCTTTGCCGAGCTGAATGCGCTGGTTTAGTCTGCCGGCTTCCGTAGCGTCGTGATCGCGCATGTGCGCGCTTTCAGGAAATCCTATACACTACTGTTTATGCTCTAAACATTCTAAATGACTTTGTTTCGAGTAAATTCTGGATGCTACCCACTGAGGACACTTGGAATACATTGGACGAGCAGTATGGAGGAATATTGACACGTTTTTTGTGGACCTGTCTCGGGCACCATAGAACTCCATTATTTGAATGTCAGCAAGAAGCCTCCCAGATCTCCAGATGCATTTGAGATATCAAAAAAGTACTCCAGAGTGTTGTTCAGCATGGGGGTGAGTAGAAAATGGAGGCTAATCATGTTTTTAGGTGTACTATTCCTTTAAGGGGGGGAATAAACTCATTGACAAATTTCAGTCATTTCTTCAAGGTTATACTATTTGAAGTAGATCAGGATCTCCCCAAAAACCTTATCCACATTCAGGTTATATTCAATTCAGATAAACTTAATTTAGTCTTTAAAAAACTTTATTAAACAGATACATTTAAATAAAAACATGCAAATCCATAATCAGCGATGTAAGGCGCCTCTGGCTGAAGGACTGAGAGCCATCAGAGCAGCCGCAGGCCTCTTCAGCTCCTTCATGATCTGCAGACCTAAAGCTTTAACGGGTCCATAGCTGACCCGGGAGCCACCGGGACTCTGGGGCCCATCGGCTGCAGGAGAGGCTCCTGGCGGATCAGCATCATTCACGGTAACTTTCACGGGTCTGTTCCGGTGAAACAGAGACTCCCTCCGGCTGGTTGATGGGGTTGTGGCCAATACGTCGCTGAAGCCATAAGGGGTAGTCACCTTTGGCACGTGCGGCAGCGACATGGCTGCGCGGGTTGTCGGATCCGCGTCTGCCGCGTCATCGGCGGCGCGACGTGGACGACAGCAGCGCGGAGAGCGCAGACGAAAGCGGCACCTGGACGAGGGGGCGGGTTGGGATGGAGTCACAGGGAGAGAAGCTCCTGTGGCCTCCTCATCATCATCCTCCTCTGACAGCAGCGCGGAGCGGTCCGTGGAGAGACGGCGGAACATCGGAGAGGCCAGGAACGGGCTGCGTATGGAGGGGATGATGAAGGTCGGGATCCGCTCAGGAGTCAGAACCAGAGCCCGCAGAGAGGATGCAGATTTCATGGCAGACATGAGGGGAGCTGGAGACAGAAAAACATTTATTCATAAGCCTGCTGAGCGTTTAAGAGTCATATTGGCAATTAGAAAAAGCAGTTCCACTTTAGAAATACACAACCTGACATTAAGAAACAGATTTTCATAGACGCGAATCTCATAATCGTATTAAAGAATCTCGTTTATACTTTCAGTGAGAAGCAAACAGACCATTCCTGCTGAGCTTAACGTGTAGCACACATCTTAGTGTTAAAAAAAAAGAAGCAGCAAGTCTTTGCAGTGCATAAAACCTTAGATGCCAAGAAATTTGATTTTAAGGAAAATAAAAAAAGCCCACAATATACTCCTCTAAACAACAGTTCTAGACTAGGGGCCAGTTCCCCTGTAGAATTAGTCCTAGCCCCATTATGGCCCCTGTGCTTAAGACATAGTCAATATCTTGTGGCAATATACCTTGACAGAGAAACATTATTCTTTCTTTTTTCTTAAGCAACTTGATTTAACTGAAAAAGAGGGTTAAAAAGAAACATACCTGTAAAGATCAGGAAATAAAGACCTGCAGCAGTCAGAGCACACTGGAAGAGCACTGGAACACCACTGGTCCTGTATGGTGTTTGTTTTATAATCAGCTGCAGCTGGAGCCAATCAGAGGTCTTCCAATTATAGAGAGGTGATTGAATCATTGAATGGACTCGTACGCGGTCAGTCACAGCAAACGCTGCACTAAAATTTCCCACGAAGAAGAAACGTCGGAGGTGGAAGGCCGGAAAGATTGCATGTGGATGGTCGTTTGGTGCATGGCGCGTGTTTTGAAGCTGCTTATGGAGAAATGTCTTGGGCCGTGAGTAGTGAGGAAACAGGAAGCGATTCTTGTGGGATGGAAGAGGGAAATAGTGACAATGAAGGTTGGAAGATAGCAACATCAAAAAATGAGAAAAAGCGGAAAAAACAGAGATCAGTTCAAGGGGAATCTAGTTCAGAACAATCCAGTGATGATCATTCCATACATTCCACAGCACAACAAAATGAATTCAAAGTCATATTCAAAGTCGTTAATCAGGCAGACTCTTTTACAAATTGGAATCCGGTTCACTTAACAAAAACCATCAATAAACTTGTCGGAGAAGTCAGAGGTGCCAGAATTCTGTACAGTGGAGACCTGCTAATTAACTGCAGAGACAGCGCCCAGCAAGGCAAAGCAATACGGATCAACAAAATTGACGGGATAAGAGTTCAGTGCAGCTTAATGGAGAACAAAAAGTTCAGCAGGGGAGTCATTGGAGGAGTTCCTCTAAAAATTTCTGAAAAAGAGATTCTGGAAAACATAAGAGGTGCAAAAGTAAAAGAAGTAAAACGGTTAAAAACAACAAGAAACGGAGAAAGATCTGACAGTTTATCTGTGCTAATTAAATTCGAAGAAGAGCAATTACCAAGCAAAGTATTCATCGGTTACATAAGCTATAATGTCAAAATCTACAATCCTCCACCATTGAGATGTTTCAAATGCCAAAAATTCGGTCACATTGCAGCAGTTTGTAAAGGGAAACAGAGGTGTGGAAGGTGTGCAGGAGAACATGAGTACGGAAAATGTGGAAAAGAAGCTAAAATAAAATGCTGTAATTGTGGTGGAGAACATACTGCTGCCTATCGCGGCTGTGAAGCAAGCAAAAGGTCTGAGGAAATTAAAAAAATGAAATTTGAGCTCGGAATAACCTACGCTGAAGCTGCAAAAAGGATCCCATCTCAGTCAGAAAAACCCAAACCTACAGTTCAACACACAGCAAATTCCAAACCTCTAGAGAAATCTCTAAAAATTGATGAAGACTCACTTATTGTTAAAAAGACAAATTTTGTTCTTTTCATGGTAGAAGTTATTAATTGTACTGCACAGACAACAAAAAAAACGGAAAAAAATCAAAATAATAGTGAAGGCTGCAGAAAAATATCTGGACATTAAAGATTTGAACTGGGAGATGGTTGGAAGTATGATGGGAGGACCGATGGGACCATCAGAAACTGGCAGAGTTAAGATGACCTAGAGTAAATTAAAATTATATGGGCAAATGTGATTTAGTATTATGTTGGTTTAAGTTACACAGGTTTTTTTTTTTTTTTTTTTTTTTTTTTTTTTTTTTTTTGGGGGGGTGAATCGTTTCCTGTTTTCTTGCTTTACTCCATATCAGTTGGTGGCGGTAATGCACAATTCACAAGTCTGCCAACCGCCATAAAATCCCATAAGAAGAAGAAGAATTGAATGGACTCAGCAGGTTGATTCCTTCATCAGTTCATTTAAAAAAGTCCTGGATGTAGAACCGGGTCTTAAGCACATATTGTTTTTATTTTTCATTTATATTGAACTGATTTTATTTCAAAATTAGCCCATTTAAATAAATGCTGGACCTCAAAGACGTCTTTGTCAAAAAGCATCCCTGCTACTTTCCATGTAAATTAAAATTATTATTAACCTATTAGTCTAATGAATAATTTGATTTCAATAAAGGTTTAGTTTTTTTTTTTTACATTAGTGAATATATTAAGTATTATTATACTTTATAATGCTCAAATTATTTTTTTTTCCAGACTGAAATATCTGCTGTTGAAGGAGCTAAAATCTCCCTAAAAAGAAAGTTTAACAAAAAAAAAAAAAACTTTGTCTTTTTAAGGACAAAAATATCACTTAAAAAACCCCAAAAAACTATCAATTCTTAATTGAAAAATTATTTTGGAAATTAATATTCTACTGACGTAGAACGGGTATTATAAAGCAGATTTAGGATATACTAGTTTTCAACAGAGTAAAGTAAGTTTCCACACTTATCAGAATTTGGAAAATACTACAAATCTGTTGCATACTTTCAAAGATGCTTAAAGGAAGTTGCCTCTATGTAGAAATATCTTATTTCAAGTGCATATTATCTAATTATCTTATTTTAAGAGTAAAAATACTCATTCCATTGGCAAACTATCTCATTTACCTATTCAAATTAAGGGTAAATACACTTAGTTTAAGAAAATGTCACTTATTTCTAGATCTTTTGTTCCAGTGCAAAACCTCAAGCCACAAGAACATTTTCTTCCCATCCACTACCAGCCTTTTCAACAAGGCCACCCTGTGACACTGTCACCTCCTCTTCTCCGACCCCGCACAGGACCTACAAGCTACACAAATGTAGCATCTCCAGACCTCATGCACTACATTAACACAGAGCCTACTGTGCATATAGTATATAGCTTTATACTATAGTATATTGTGTGTTTTATATGGTATATAGCTATAGATTCTGTATTCTGTATATATATCTTGTTATATATATCTTGTTTGCCTGCACCATTAACACCAAGTCAAATTCCTTGTAAGTGCAAACCTACTTGGAAATAAATCTGTGTTTTTCTGTTTAACCTCGTCTCCTTCCTGAACAAAGCAACTTCAGATGCCAAAACTGGAAAATTGTGTAACGTTTGTCTTTCACCATTTCCCTTTTATTTAATATCTATACAAAATTGTTGTCAAATGCCGTTTTAATTAATGAGGTAGAAACCATTCATCTAAACCAACCTGGCCTTATGTAATTATGTAACTGCCCCGACCATCTGGATGCACAAGTCTTGGCATTGAGTTTTACACCAGTGTCACTTTTCTTTGAAGAAAATTTTCACTTCTGCTTTCTGTGAAGGTTTTCAAACCAGATCAGCTTTTTTTTAAGGTTATGTTAGTTGGTAACTGAATTTTTTTTGAATGTGCAAATCCAAATCCTTTATTAGCCACTGAGAAGTGGACATTGTGGCGATGTATTGGATTTTTTTATTGACACAACCAAAGTGTTCCTTATTGGCAGGGAAAGAGCAGAACTTATAATCTCATCAGTTACAGTAAGACATCCAGATCCAGAAGCAGATCCAGACATTCACACTGCCACTGCATTTTTGATCTTATCAGATCTATTTCAGGATAGTTTTTGACCAATGTTAACATGTTAGACCAGCTTTTGGGCTGATTTCACTGAGTAGCAGTTTTTTACCTACAAACACTCACATAGAGGCCATTTTTTGCCCGTTATTTAATGTTGAATCAGCATAACTTACTGACTTTGACTGAATATTGATTTGCACTGCCGACTGCTTATTCACAGTACCAGTTGTTTAAATATACATTTGCAATAACATACTTTAACTGTAATATGCAATTACCTTCCACTGCACTTTAATTTAGATAGCTTCCGTCCAAACTTTATTCTTTTTATAGTAAAACCCATCTGTATATATGCTATTGTACGCAACTGTAAAAACCCTTTTTATAGTAATATCCAGCTGTATATTAGATTGGGTACATATCTAGCTGTAAATTTAGTTCATAACACTAGTGATCTATATATTATATTCATTATTTATAATGGTATTCATCTCTATACTCATTCACTAGAAACTCATGTCCTGTATTTATGGAACCATTATTTATCCTGCACTTGCTGCTATTGCACTTCTGGTTAGACCTAAACTGCATTTCGTTGCCTTGTACATTTACCTGTGTAATGACAAAGTTGAATCTAATCCAATCTTACATGAGGTGAAGCCTGCATAATTTTTTTCCTCTACCTTCGGGAATTATTTTTCTCAGGTCGGCCAATTCTTTTGTATATATTTTCTTTCACCATGATTCTCTGGAGTCCCAAAGCCTCAGAAATAAATAAAAAAGTCAATGTTTGTGACCCAGTTTCCCATGTTTTGGGGTTTCTTTAGATCTGGATATGATGCAAAGCTTTTTGAGATCTTTTGATCACACGATTGGTGATTATAGTTAATAGGCCTGGATGAGGCTGAGGATGTTGAATATTTAAATATATTTAAATTGAAAAACTAATTTTTACTATGTTAACTCTGATGTCAACATTTGATTGACAGTAAAAAAAAAAAAAAATCCACTCAGAGGGACATGATTTTTAAAAGCACAGAAACTTTCTAGGAAACAGCTGATTTCAGTGAGACTTATTCACATGAAAAATATCTGATGCAGATTTAACTTCAA